CCTGTGTTCAACATGATTAGCCATATTACTCCTGACATACATTAATTTCGGGGCTATTTCTTGGATTTTGTTTATCCTTGATGCTGGTGTTATTAGCTTTTCTGGGTTCAGCATTTGTTAATTTTGTTCTGTTGTGTAATGACAGTTCAGGTGGTGGAGTGAGCGTTGGTGCTGTCCTTTTTGATGTCCTGCTGGATTTGCCTCTGCCGTGGACAACGTCAGACCCAGTCCCAGCTGGAGTTGATGCTTTCGGTCTAGCTCCAATGCGGTGCCAGTATGAGGCATAAGGGAAGACTGGTCTGGGAGCCCCTGCAGCTAGTCCAGTGGCATTAGGACATACCCAGGGGAAAGTGTCAGTTAAGTCCACAACGTGACACTCCACATCCAGTGTACCTCAGTAAATAAAAATCTGTGTCTGTCTGTCTGCATTTGGTAGCTCTGCACCTTGTACAGTAGCTGCTACAGAGTCAATGTATTGCTCATTCTCATCTATGTATTGGAGCGTTTCAATCTTCTTCTGGAGCTAGTTATCCTCTCAATCAGTCGATCACAGTCCGAGCAGCTCACCAACTTTGCAGTGTTTGCCATTATCTTGTCTTCAGCGAAACCACTATAGACGTTTTCATTAACGCCGGTATAGACAGTAATAATAGCTCTATTTGGAGAAGTAGCCTATAGGAAATTAGAAAATGCAAACGCAAAGCATATAGAAAGCAGAGAGCAGAGGAAAACAAATTGGCATGCTTCTGTGTCTGCATCATTTTCTCTGTCCAAACACACACACACACACACACACACACACACACACACACACACTACAGTCTGATGACAGGGACAGAGGCACAATACAGGGGAAGTAAACTACCAAAGGAAGTGGGTCAAGATAGAGAACAAATAATGACAAATAATGACAAAATGAAAATAATGACAGAGCAGAAGGGAGAGCGAGTAAATCCAGCTGATCGTCAGGAGAAAGGCAGAGAGAGGATGAGCTCTCAAAGATGGATTAGTCAGAAAGTCAAACACATTGGAGAAGGAGATTTGTTATTGTGTGAACCTCTCAGGGAGATGGTCAAGGTGGACAGCTGACACTGGAGACTGTATTTAGTATCCACTCTTCTAACAGCTAAACTGACCCAGACTTCACCATAATGGGGGCAGCAATCAAATCTTAAATCAAGGAGAGCCACAGTCATAGTGTCAATTGTCATCTACCTAAATGGAAATCAAATCTGAGTTCAGATTTTCAGTGCATGCATAAAAAAAATCTAAAAATGAATAATATAAAAAAACAAGTCCAGTAGAATAAATGTGTACTGTACTGTAAGTGTTATTGGGCTGTTGTGCTGCTGTAAAGACCCCTCATAAAGACACATGTTGGGACTCAGTACATTTGAATTGGTGGAGACCACATGTTCTTTTGCTCTGAAGAACAAAGAACTCACTTCCCCACAATTCCTCACTGTTCACACCTGGGGACAACCCTCCCCAGGGACACCAGGGACCAGTGAGTGTTGGTCACTGTCTGACATGTGAACCCCCAGGGTGTCACCAGACAGAACCAGATCTCCTTCTTTGTTCTGCGTCTTCTCTCCTTGGCTTGCTCAGGAGCAGCAGCTCCTCTTCCCTCTCAGCTCCTCAAGGAGCAACAAGGCTCCCAGCCCAGGTCAGCCCTGCTACCTGAGACGACAGCTCTCTTGAAGGCCTGAGAGGACAAGTGGCTACGACACAAAGTCTGCAAGCTGATTTTCGGAGCAACTGAAGACACAGCAGTTGGCGTGGAACTGTAAGAAGAACAAAGAGGAACACCGAGACTACACAGTCCGACAGGAATTCACTCCTCACTCACACTGGACTTTACAGCAACACTGGAAAGGACCTCTTTCTTTTGTTCCAAGGACTGGGTAACGTTAACTGACTGGGCGTAACCTAACATTGCACAGCATAGCACAGCACAGCACAGTCACACAGTCAATTGGGTACTTGTATGTTCACACACATACCTGTATTACATCTCATTTTCTAGACCCTGCATGCAGCTAACCTCCCTCAAAGCATTGACAACCTCTATGCAGTAGAACTCCAATACCTCTACTTTCACTTTTACTGTTTATTTGGTAATTTTGCTTATAGTTATTAAGTTAAATTAAATTATTTATCAAAGTTCCAGATTAATAGTAATAATTTGAGACTGAATCAGTATTGGTTATTCTTGCCTTTTTAGGCTGGTGCCCCCGAGGACTTTAATTCATTTCAACGTTATTATTTAATATTAATATTTTCTTAATTTATGATAGCCAATAAATTTACCTACAACCAAAGACCCAACATTATGGTGCCCCGTGTGTGAGGCAGAGCACTGCTCCAACACACATTTTCAAGGGCCATATGCATTTCATTAGGAGATCATGTTAGGAGATCATAATGGAGAAAGAGGTTGAGGGGTTCACTCTCGGGATCAGTGTTTCCCACAGAATTAGATTGTATTTGTGGTGGTAGCTGAATTGAAATGAATTATTCAATAATAGTGTTTATAAGCTGCTCCACTGTAAATCTTTTATTTGCCAAGTACTTTGACACATAAGTGACTGAACAATATATAGAGCTCCATTGCTTCACATTGTGTCAAATAAATAACAATGTGACTGTTGATTACATGTTGTGATTGGCCAGTGAGCTCAGTCCTGACAAAGTATGACTGGTGCACAGTAAGGGTAGGGAGAGAGACATTAATAACTTTATATTGCAATTAGAAACCTGTGTTAAACAGGTGTTCCACAATTGTTTTTGTGGCGTGTTGGAACAGGGAAGTAAAATCCCTTAAACACACACAAAAAGTAAATAAAATACAAAGCATGCTCAAGTTGCTTACCACAAAAAATGTCAGGGTGGAAGGTAAGCATACTTACATATACATGCACATCTTTTATAAAAATCAATCTCTTAGGGAATATTTAACTTTTTAGACATGAAATCATTATTGTGTGTGTGTGTGTGTGTGTGTGTGTGTGTGTGTGTGTGTGTGTGTGTGCGTGTGTGTGTATGTGTGTGTGTGTCTGTGAGAATTTCCCGTCCAGAGTGTTCCTCTTCTGTTAGTATTTAAGTGCGGTGCTGTGGTCATCTCAAATGTAAGGTTCACGAAACACAAAGATATTAAGGATATTGAAGCTTTTGCAAGATTATCCCAACACACAGGCACACACACACACACACACACACACACACACACACACACACACACACACACACACACACACACACACACACACACACACACACACTCACACACACAGATGAGCATTTGACAAACTCTTTCCATGTTGGAGCGGAGCTGACACAAGTCTCAGTTTAAACTGAATTAATATCTCATGCATATCTGATTGACTTCCATATGCTTGTGATCCCATTAATTCCCCAACATGTCCAATTACTCCCTGCAAAGAACATTTAATGCATCTCAAGTCAATTACCTATTGCTTAATTTTCCACCTACTTCATTTCTGTAAGTGACCCAACTAAATGAAGCCAAATATATTTCAATAATCAACGAAGGGCAGTGGGTTTTTTTTGCCCTGCTAATGCGCTGGGACCTTTGGAAGGAATTATCAATTCACGGATCTGTACAGTATTTCCAGGTATCTTCTTCTGTAACATCTGTAACTACTCTAATTCTAAAAATAACCCAAATAATTTACCAAATTTAAAGTGAGACTATGTAACTTTGGCTCAGCAGTGGCAACAGTGGCCTCTGTAGTCTCATAACTCGCACACATAAAACCACACGCACCACATCATCAACCATCATCGCGTGAGAGCATATCAGTTCGGCACGCACACCAGTTCAAGTTGACTTTTGAGACTTGGGTGGTGGGGACAGTGGCTAATGACACTCCTTTAATTGGTCACTATCAACACCAGGGGAGCGGAGTATGTATCAGTGTTAGGCTGACATCACTGACACAGGTGTTTCCTAATAATATTGACCAAATCAGGCACATATGAGGTAAATAGAATTGCTTCAAGCACAGAACCTTGAGGAACTCCATGTGTAACTTTTGCATCATTCTGATAAATAGGAGTTTAATGACTTTAATGCCACTTAAATGTTCTGCTCTCTATATCAAATGCAGCACTACTAACCCTAACCAACAAGACAAGAACAGAGAGACGTCCTTTGTCTGATGCAGAGGGTCATTGCTTCTCTGTGCTACACATACTACAAACCATTAGTCTCTTTGATGACTTGGCACATTCCCAGTGTGGTGGTGCTGTCTGTATGACATTTTCTCACCCACCATCATTTTCATTTTTCCCAGGGGTGATATTGATCATATCATCAGCTGTGTATGACTTTCACTTAAAGATGGACACCATTCAGAGAGCATGTTGTTCACCTCAGACATTTAATATAGTGGCACCATCAGGTCAAATGTTCACCTCACTATCACTTTAATCCATGACAAAAGCTCAAAAGTTATCAGTCATTTCTCCATTTCCATGTAGATATTCATTGTCTCCAGGGGAATCCAGGACTGTTGATGTCAGTGGCTCTGTGGTTTAAGAAAATAAAATCATTAGTATGGTGCTCAATCTGTCCAACACTGCACATCACTGCAGCCTATGTGGGCTGTTCTGTCAGTCCTTGAAGTCACTTGAAGGATCAACCTTATATTATTTGGGGTTTTTTTGTTACCTTCATGTATGTCTTTATTATTTAGTAACAGCACCTGCTGTCTGCACTGAAGGTGATGGTGCAGACAATGTGTGTGTGTCTGCCTTTTTCTTGACGCTGGATGTTTCTCTTTGAATTTCATCACTGAATGATTGTTTGAAACCAAATGTTGCTGTTTGCATTTTACATACACATGGCTGTGCCCACTGCCAGCCCTCTGTATGGACTATCAAGAGTATAACCATTTGCATGACTGTCAACATGCAAGTAATATGAGTGTTTCTAATACTGCCTTTGTTTGCTTGTTTTCTGTCTCCTTCTATTTCAGAAGTCACCAATAATATGCCAGGTGAGTCTGAATGAAAACTATGTTAAATGTAAATATATGACCTTAACAATCTGCTGCAGATTTCCAGACACAGTAGGACAATACAAACATAGTATGGGCTTCAATGCTACACAATTGGGCACAGCGTATAAAAAGCTGCCAAAAAGAAATGTATTATACACATATAATTATACAAAACAGTGAAAAGAGACATCATGTTTTGCAGGTTTAAATCCATGCAGCAGCTCAGTGAAGATGAGCTCTGTTACTGAACAGGACATGTGTTTGAGCAGGGTATTACATTTACTAACATGCTGTTATTTCTTATGAGGAAGCTTCCTGCTCAGCCACAGGAAGCTTTATGACAGTGTGCTCTGATGTCATGTTTTTTCCTCCTGGGAAAAACATGTATCATCACAATACTAAAGAGTATTGAAACTAAGTGTGCGTGTGTCTTTTCTCAAGTATTTCTTTCCCCTCTTCATCCCTCTCTTATCCTGTCAAGGCCTTGCACATATGATGGCAGAACAAGGTATGCCTCTCTTTACCTCTTCTCTATCATGTTGCTGTTTTGTTTATGTGGAGCTGCATGTTTTGGTGTTGGTGTGTGATGGTGTGATTTTATTATTCTGCTTTACTGCTCTACTCCCTGAACAGTGTTTTACAATTAAAAAATATAAATTTTGATCAAACTGGCACCATGGTAATTTAATGACTTAAAAACACAAAAAAACACAGGCTAACCCTAAATACAGTTGTGATGGAGAATATGTAGAGTCTGCTGACAGTATTGTTAAAAGGTGACTAGCAGAGTAGAAGTGTCATCTTGGCGTATGACTGATGAATGTCACATTCAGCAGCAAATAAAAAAAGTCTGTGTATGTTGTAATTCTGAGTCAGAAATATTGAGTATAAAAGCTATGAAATCTCTTGCTTGGCAAAAAAGACTCACAAAAGGAGAGCATGAGTTGTTTCATCAAATACAACAGAACTAAATCTGTTTATGACCACGAGTGCTGCTTCAAAAAAAGAGATTATATGTCCATATGCAACAGAAAACTAAGAAGTTAAATTAAAACCTTTCAGCAAATTTACAAGTTGTGAAGACATTTTTCATCTTCTGTTCAGACTCTGTTTTCAGTATCAGGATCAGGACCTGGCCCATCAACATAACGTCAGGCTTCAACACAAGTGACCTGTGTTAGTGTAGAGTGGTTATTATTATAACTATATTGACAAAGGTCCCCTAACCTTCATCAAGTAGTAATTTAAACTAAACCACCACTGTCCAATTCGATGGCAAGTTGTTTTAGTGGCTGAACCTGATCAAACTTCAACCATACAGGTGTCAAGCAATACTGTTGTGGTGGAAAGAATTGCCAACAAACTGTTAGCTACAAAAACTTAATCATTGTCAGTTACTTCCAAACAAAATCCAATATTAACATAAATACAATCAATTCATCTAATCATCTAAAAGGAGCAATACATAGTTTTTATCCACTTGTTACAAATAAACACAGTACAAGTATCTAATGCAGGTCAGCAGGAGGGGGTGGGTGGTGGGGGTTAACCTTTGTTTTTCTTGTTCTGACAGCACATAACTGCAGCATAAAATTCCTTTAAATCACATATTTAAATGTTTAAAATGACAATTTCAGTCCAATTATTCTGAAATGGTCAACAGGCAGATATCTAATATATAATATTGTGAAATATGAATATTCAATATAAAGTTAATTTTAATGAACTTCTTCAAAAAGACTAGAAAGCTGGAAAAACATGACTTGTTCCTCTTAAGGCTGACACAGCACAGTAATCTCTTAGGATTATTGAAAGGCATAATGTATGGCCTGTGCCAATATTTTCAGTAAAAAGATCTTTCACAAAAGACAGATAATCTATGTGTTAAAGAGTTTGAAGCCTTAAATCCTTTTCTCACAACTCAACTATTTGTGTAGTGGCTGCTCTCTGTCTATGCAGGGCAGTGTTGCTGTAAAATTCAGAGGTCTTTTAATGCCTGATGTGTTTGCATGTTTCAAGTGTTTTGTCATTTACAGTTGCATTACAGTGGCTACACTGATTTATCCTACATATATTCATATATACATTGATATATTTGGTGTCAACTAGAACTGAACTGACATTTCCTCTTCTTCCTCCTCCCTGTCTGGCTGTGGATCCTCTGTTTTGTCTCCGCCTCCTCCTGCTCTTCTAGCTAAAAGCAAAGGTACATCTTTTTCGAAATCTTTCCTTTTCCGTCTCTATGAAAAGCGACGCTTGCTCTGTGAGTGTTTGAGAGTACTGCAGTGTATTGTGTTTGATGCTCTAATGTGTTTACTTGACTGTGTTCAGTGTCTCTTCTGTGGTTTCTCTTGGATTAAGCAAGTAATTAAGTTAGCCCCATTTGAAGGAGAAGGAAGAAAGAGAGAGTTACTTTGTGTTTTCTTACTGATTGACTGCATTTTTTTATTTGTTATAAGGCGTGTATGCACCTCTTCAGTGAGGTACAATTCATTCTCCTCATTGGCTGATGGAACACAGTGACAGCACAGGGTTTCTTCTGGCAGAAGCACTACCAAGGATTGTCTTAACTAATTCATATGCACAGTGGTATCATTTTCTTTACAGCACTCAGAGTACAAGCTGAGCCAAGCACAAATCCATTAGAGGCAACTGCACAAAGTTTTTTAGTTGTTAGTCACGTGGGGTTTCTGGCTTCTAGAACAAGAGGTTAGGAATTTCACATCTTCATAATTTCTTATACATGCATAATCTGGATTCTGGCAATATTGATTCAACAATTAAGATTGTAATCTGTTGCTTTTTCTTGGTCAAGTATTAACATTGTGCAGAAATTAGCTATATTTTATATAGTAGTATACTGACATCTGCATTTATATCTATGGGACAGACATTAGTAAACAGTGTTCAGCATATTTTATTAGTGCGATATGTAAGTAAAGGAGCACCTCTTCCTCAGGTGACTGAGAATGTCAGTGCAGGATGTGATCAGACTGAGTCAGCAACAACAAGAGTCAATAGTTGCATATAGAGATATTATAGAAGGGCTGCAGTGCATACACCCCTCATTACAAAGATGAATGCACATCTGAGAGTTCAGTGGTGCAGAAACTACAGGCCAACAGAGATCTGGAAAGAGTGAAATGCTGATTAGAAGCAGAGATGGTGTTGATGCCAGACTGTGGTTGATGAACACAAATTTACCATGAAAATGTGGAATTCATAGGTCCTCTTGGGTGGTAGTACAATATGTTGGCAGTGCCAATACAGAAATACGTCTTTGGGTGTTTGCCATGAGAAGCTGTGGTTGGGTGCAGTCTGCTGTGTACACCTGTAATGGCTTCCCCCATTGACAGCACAGAGCTGGTATAAGCTCCTGGAGTTTCCTCTCCCCTCTCCACTTCTCTCACAGTTTTCTCGGTGTCTAATCCCTGAGCGAGATGGTAGACATTATTAGGCATCAAGCTCCCTGTCGCCTCTTGTTAGGCAGACAAGAGACTCCACTTCGACTCTATTTGCATGTCAGCACACTGGTGGCAGAGAGGCAGATGGAGAGAGGCGGGGAAAATAGGAAAATGTGTCTCAGCCATCGAGGAGTCATATTTTACTGTCATGGGCTGAAACTCACTGCTTCTATCTTCATTTTCATTTTTTCTGAGAATTCTTTTTCTCTCTTCTTCAAAATATTCCTGGTAAATCTCCCTCTCTATCTGCAGTCTCTGTTGCCTTCTTCACTTCCACTCCTCATTTGTTTCTAATTCCTCTTTCTCTCTGTTTCGCCTCTCCTTGACCCTTTTCTCCTCTTTATAAAATCACTAACAGTTTTCTACCTTGTCCATTTTATTAGCTTTATTCTTCGTTCACTGTTCACTGTTTACTGCTTACTCTTAATGCAATGTTTTCCACCTACCATTTTTGCTTGAATGCGCCTATGATTCTTGCCGGAGCTGTAGTGCCAACACAGAGGGCTTAAGCAAATAACACAATGTCACTGAATCTGGCTCAACCAGAGATGTTATCGGGGAGGAGTCAAGCCACTTACAGATTCCTGAATAGAATAGTCTACAATGTCAGGACACCTGCTGATGGAACAAGAAGTTTATTTTTTTGAGTGGGGGCAAAGGGACATGTGAGATGAACCCCGGTTGAACTACCAGCATAGCCAGCAAGGCTGTGGAGAGAGAAGGCTCTTCATTATTATGAGCAGGGTTCAGAAATATGTCAATGACTGCTGGTCATCCTGTAGCAGACAACATATCTTCCACTTAAATCATCTGAATTTAGTAAGAAATCAGTGTGTGATTTGAATCCCCTGAAAATACCCGTCCTCTCCACTCAACCTCATCATGACTGGATCAATGATGACATGGTGGTTTTAGGGTGGAGAGGGACAGAAGGATGGGGGGGTGCATGGACAGTTGTTTTTTTTGCGCTTGATTGAGTTCTGGTAAGAGAGCCAGACATGGAGGGCAGGGACAGCCCAGCATCAGTAACAGGGGGGGGCAGGTGGATGGGTGTGTCTAGTGCGCATGTAGTATGTGTGCATACAATGGGATGAGGATCAGCTAGAACAAAACAGCTCTGAAATGTCTTTTTAATGGGAAAAAATAAGAAAACCTTACCCATGAGTGTGGCCCATGAGTGTGCGCTCCTGAAATAGTGCCCCTATAGAGTGCCACAGGGATGATATGTTTGTAGTCCAACCATGAAGTCAGCTTCACCCCGGTTTCCTCTGCAAACAGACAATGTGATTTTTCTATTGTCTTTTGGATTATTACAGAAAATAAACAACTATAAAGCAACTACACCACAGTCACATGACTTCAACATCACCACCACTAAAATTCAACTTGTAGTTTAGCTCTGACCTCTTCTACAAAAAACCTTTCCTATGACAGAGTTAGTGACAGTTTGTATAAACACAAGTCTCTCTTATACTAATTGTAAATCAGTATTGCGCTAGATTTTTTGTTATTTCGAGTTATAAGCATATGAAAGAGTGTGTATCAGCAAACTGTTTGTATCGGCACACTGACTGACTGATCAAGGTCACGGTCAAAAGAAATGATGACAACTATCAGTTTCAAAAGAGAAACAATGGTCTCTGTTTTGAGAGTTCTGTGACTCTTCCATCCACCCCACCCTCCTCTTAATGTTGACTTTGTTTCTCTTTATACTACATCACCTGACTTCATCTTTTGTGCTATCGTAATCACTCCAACCAATAGAGGTTACCTAACAATAAAACCTAACTATGGGTCATAAGCTGCTGCACAGACGACCAATGGGCTCAGTGTCACTGTAATATTTAACCTAACCCTAACCCCACCCCTCAAACCAAGATCTGCACTTGACTCCCATCTGGTCACAGAAACAGGTCCCCTGTTTTGAAGAGGGCCAGCTCTTTGCCCACACTGTCATGTGTGTAGATACTGCTGACTAGTGAGTGTATCATATGCGCATGTCTGAATGTAAGGTTTCAGTCCTGTTGTACCAGCCAGTAGAATGTTAGTGACTGTGTTTCTGAAGGCCCATGCTCCTTTGGCTGATTTGATTAAGTAGGTGAGTGATCATTCTTGTGCAAAAAAAGATTATATTGTAATACATAATGTAACATAATACAATGGCCAACACAAGCTTTGCAAGACACAAATAGTACACACAGATGCCACAATGGCAAGTTTCACTCTATGGCCAAAGAGCACTGCTCCCAGAACACAAAACTGCTGCAGATGGACTGGATGAAGACAGTGGTCACACCGTTCATTGCACAGTCTGGAAACACACTTCCAGCGTTGCATGTACAGGGACGCAGCTGCGTTGCTGACCCGCTGTGTCGCTGACCCGCTGCTGTTCCCGTGTGTGTGTTCACACACGTCTCTGCTGCTGCATCTTTGTCTCTCTACATAGAGTTTACAGGTTATTGGATCTTTTCATTATAAATTAATTTCCAAACCAAGACATTCCACAGCCACCACACACACACCACACTTCCAATTTGTTCCTGGCCTTAAAATGCGGTGTGGACTCAAGTCATGTGACTGTGACTCAAGTCAGGCTCATATGCCTGAAGATACAGCTCAACTTCAACTGCGACCTATCTTTGCTTTGGCCAAACATTCAAAGTGATGTAAAAACTAGAATTACTGCCTGGCAGTTGTACACCTCTGCCAACTCATTAAATTGCAGTTTATAGACATGTATGTCCAGACATGGACATGGAATATAATAATATATATTGAAGGAATTTACTAAAAGGTATTATATCATAATTAGCATGTGAATTCTTGCGTTATGGCCATGTTTTGTGAGGTCTCAGTGACCTTGACCATTGACTGTAGAAATCAAATCAGTTCATTCTTGCATCCAAGTGAATGTTTGTGTCAGATGTAACTAAATCCCTCCAGGTGTTCCTTGTATAAATCAGTCATGTGATGTCACAGTGACCACCAAAATCTAATCAGTTCATCCTTGAGTCCAAGTGTGAAGTTTGAAGACATTCCTTCAAGGTGTTCATGAGAATTGAGCAGATAGACAGACAGACCAATGTTATATATTTTTTTGAGTTGTGTACTGATTTTAATCATGGTAACGTTTCATTGGTTGCCTGTTAGTGACATCATATCCTCTGTAATTAAGTGTCACTGTTGTGGTTTCCTGACAGACGCTAAACATTGACTTTTATCTACTGTAGTTTAAAGACACATACACTTTTTACACCTTGGTGATTTTCAGCTCTTTTTGAATTAGAAGAAGGATTTTAGTCATTGGACATCTGGATCTGAAGTTATCAGAGAATCAAGCTGAGGAAATGTTAGACAGCTCAGCTCCCAGCTGCTAGAGACGTCCTGTCCTGTGTCACTGAAGAGTGTTGGTGAATCTCTGAGTTTCAAAGTGAAACTGCTTTCTGGGTGTCTCTACTGGTTTTAATCTCCTGATGTGTTTGTTATGGAGAGGAGGACACATCTGTGGATAATTCAGCTGCTGGTAAAGACCTGCTGAACCACTGACACTGCGGGAATCCAAACTGACGGTAATGGCATGAAGACAACAACTCCCATGATCCCACATTATTTCACAACATCACCCAAGCCATCTTTTGTTATTGTTTCGATTGAGAGACCCATAGCGCAGAAGTTGGAGACTGTGTAAAGACTGTGTTTGGCTTAGTGTGTGGATCCTCTCTGGTACTGTTCATGTCTTGAT